CCCCAAAACCCCAAAACCCCAAAACCCCAAAACCCCATTAAATTTTATAATTGAGAATTATGAAATTATTGGATTAATTAAAAGTATTATGATTTCTCTAGAGTGTAATATTGCATCATTTCGCTAATTCATCTAATGTAATCTAGCCAAGCTTTCCCTCCCTGAAATCTCTTAAAAATATATCAACTGCATTACTTCTCTATTGAACCTTAAATCTATTCATCACGCTATTCAACACTTCATGCAAATTATCATTTGGCTTTCTATTGGGCAGACTAAACCTATTTACATAGGCAAAGTTCTGATCTTTATTTAACTTGAATAGTATATAATCGCAGACAAACTCCAACTCTATGATGCCATCTCGGATATTATTACAGGCACACAATTTTAATCCATCCTCGCTGTTTTCTCTGATTTTAGGTTGTATGATGCCTGGAGTATCAACCATATATGTGGGTGGATCACTCATTATCTTGAACCCAGTAATTGTCTTAGTGATACAAGGTATTCCACCAACTTTGGCTCCACTCTTCTTTGTGATTTCTGCATTTTCATCCTTTTTCCTCAAAGCATTGATGATAGTGGACTTGCCTACATTGGGTATTCCTCCTATCATCACCCATGCCCCTACAGTCTTAAACTAAGGTGAAATGTTCTTCTAAATAAAGGTCAATAGTTTACTCACATTCACGTTCTTTTTAGTGCTTATATGCAAGGTATTAGCGTTCTTGTCCTTATTCTGAATATCCTATATTATCTGAAGTGTTTTCTTTTCATTGGCCAAGTCCATCTTGTTAAAAACTATAAGTCTTTTCATGTTTAATGGGATGTGTGAAAGCAGCTCAGTGTTGTGTGATGTATAAGGTATCCTAGCATCTCTGACCTCGATAAACAGATCTGTTTTTTTCATCTCAGTCTCCAGTTCTAGTATTGCTTTCTTCATATGCCCTGGAAACCAATTCACAGCTCTGGGCAGTTCATGGAATACTTCTCTGAATACAAAGTTTTTCATTTTTAATAGTTTACGGTATTTATTAAATTAATTAACTTTATCACTTTATCAGACTAATTCATCTCATCTCTCGCCCTAAGGAGGTCTCTTAAAAGCAAAATCAACTTTAATTTATTAACCAAGCAACAGTTTGTCATTCAACTCATCAATTGCCTTCTTAGCTATTTTCAGCTCTTCGAATTCTAAGAATGCATAACCCTTAGCGTAGCCTGTCCTTCTGTCCAAATTTAAGTGTAAGTTTTTAACCTGGCCATAAGCTCCGAATAGATCCTATAAGTCTTCTTCTTATACCTAATAAATAATATTAATATAAATCTCAATTGTCTTTGCAATCATTACTTCACCATGCAGTCCAGTCACACAGAGAGTGTAACCCTCTACTGATTTCATAGGACCAAGGTCATCATCTTAAGCTAAGCCCATATATGTATCAGTACCTTCGTTCATTTTTATATAATTTTATAATTTAAATATTCTTAATTATCATTAAAAGATTGCATATATTAAAACTAAGTTATTCTTTTATAATCATCAATTTGAATGAGTCTAATTAAAAATAAAGTACCAATATTTCACTCAGCTCATCCAGAGCAAAATCTCAATTGTTGTAGACTTTTCAGACTTATAATATTTAGTGTATAGGCTCGAGATAGATAAAATTCCTGACTATAACTTTCAGGATTCAGGAGATGAACAGTAAGATAAATTTTTAAGATAGCTTTTAGTTCTTAAATTCATGAATCAAATCAAAGAGGAGAGTATTCACTATATGATGATCTTGAACAGTATGCTGATACTGAAAATAGAGGAGGAATAGTCGTCATTCCAGCTGATTCTTTGCAGAAATTAGCATCAGTGCAAAATTTTGACCATCAATCAGTAGCACATAAACATTCTAGGAGAAAAATATTTAATGGGAAGGTTGATCCTTTAAAGTTCACATCAGGTTTAGCCCTATTTTTGGTTATAATTGGACTGTTGATTACAATCTTAATGTATCGATAAGAAGCAAATCTATTCTTAGAAGCCTATATAGAATGGATTGAAACTCATCAAATTATGGGGGTATTTGTATTTTTAATTGTGAATATCATAATTGTTCCTCTGATGATTCCTGGCACTATACTAGCAATATTAGGCTCATATATTTATGCGATCATCTACGGGAAAGTCCTTGGCTATTTCGTTATATATTTCCTAGTAGTTATCAGTAATACAATAGGTGCATTCCTATCTTTTATCATTTCTAGAGGTCTATTTTACGAATGTCTCAGCCCTTACTTGCACAACTACAGATACCTTAGGGCTATGAATAGAGGCATTAAAAAGCATGGGTTTAAGTTTATTTTCCTTATCAGAATGTGCCCAGTTGTCCCATATAATGTATTTAATTATGTCTCAGCAGTGACTGACGTTAATCTCAAGCAGTATTTTTGGGGAACTCTATTTGGAATGATGCCTCTTAAAGCAATTGAGATATTCATTTTCATCAATATAACAGTCGATATCTCTAAGATAATTGAAGGCAAATACAAGCTTGGCTCTATTTATGAGATAGTACTGATAGTAGGTGTTGTAATGGCAATAGGGCTCATAATATTAATTGGATATGTTACAAAGAAAGAACTAGATAAAGAAATATAGCTTACTAGATCAAGGGAAAGAGAGCTAAGAGAATCCCTTCTGGATGAAAATATAGAGGTTGATAATAAAACTGACAATAAATTGTGAATTAGTTTCTGTTTTCCTTTTGTAGATAAATTATGGACATATGGGGTTTTGGGGTTTTGGGGTTTTGGGGAGA